AGCATGATTTGCGTGATTTAGCCCCATTGCATAACAAGAAATAAAACTCCACAAAAACCAGTGTAAAAAACCAGTGTGAGAACAGGGATCCTATTACTGACAAGCAGCCAGCACCCATGAGCAAAACCCAAGGAAATTTCTTCCAGACCATTGTTGGCCAGAAGTTCCATTCCTTGAGCAACAGGGATTTTTCCTGTAATCCTTAGAAAAAACACCACACTGTCTTCACAAAATCCTTAGTGTTTCTTTCCTGCTGACTAATGTGAAGGCTTTTTGAACTCCCTAGAAATTTTGTCCCTGTGACATCAGCTCCACAGGTTAATTAACTTTTTGTGTTAAAAAAAATACACGTATTTTCAGTGGGCATAAACAATCATCTTTTAAATTCTTTGAAATGTTTGGGACCCTAAGTATGACTCAGAGCATAAAAAGCACTAGGGCAATGTGGATTGAGGTAGCCTTCTATCTCTGCTTTTCTTCCTTTTTGTTTCACCTTCTTCATTCTGTGGTCCACTATTCAGTTTTCCTTTTTCTATTTTTGCTTCAATTTTATTTTCTAAACTCAAATACTTAGAATAAAACTAAAACTTATTGCTATGATGTAAGAAACCTGAAGTGTTTTCCCCATATTTTAAAAATTGCGATTTCTTATGTCCTATATCTTTCCTTAATAAATAATCCTGAGTCTATTAATTTTTCTGGAGCCGTCAAAATACGTACACATATGTAACTTCTCTGTCCCTAATTTTCATTCCCCACTCCTTTCACCTCTCTTTTCTTCATCTCCTTTCTTTATTCATTCAGTCTTCTTCTCAGCCCTGATTTATTCACTGTAGCACAGTGAGGAAAACTAAAAAAAAAGCAAGCAGAGTACTTATAACGAACTAGTTGTGCTCAGAAAAGCATAATAATAGAAAATTTTATGGATATTTAATAAAAAAAAAGGTTAGGAGGTAATTAGCATCTGCAGGTCTGTGTGGTACTGCGGTGTCAGATGCAGTTCTGGCTGACCCCCGGGATAGGCACGGATAACAGCAGTGCCCATTTTAAGTCCAGGATCCCCATGACAGCAAGCCATGCCATCCACATTACAGAAAACATCTGTCATTGTTTTCACCTCATCTATCATGGTCTTTAAAAGCAAAAGACTCTGCACAAGCACAGCAAGAGACTGAAATCTGAGCCATGCACTAGATTCCCTGTGTTTACTAAATGCCGAATTTAAAGGTGGTTATTAGGTGATTCTTTCTCCTCTATCTGCTAAACATTTGCAAAAATTGATTGGGTAAAACTATCCATCCTGAACAGCACATTTGTTGTTATCATGTACTAAATCCAGAATTTTGCATGGCAGAAAGCTACCCTTCCTACATTAATGAAAAAACTGAAGGGCATTATTTTACTCTTGAATGCACCAGGTAGTTTCTGTTGAAGCTAATGCACTACTCACAGTGGTAACTGCTGCTTTTTCATAATTACCAGCTGTGGTCACTGGGTAATTTAGGTAACACTCCACATTTCTGAAACACCCCATGCTTCTCACAATAAGTGCCATATTTTGTGGCACTCTCCCATGGCCTGGTCAGAACTGCTGGGCTTTGGGCAGAACATTTAGCTACCCTGTGCTTTGACACCTACTCCCAAAACAGAGCAGGCTGCTCTGTGGGAAGCTGAGAGTGTATACCTATTGTACCCACGATTCTCAACTCGTGAATCCTACAGATTGTCTTTCAGAAGGCAAATGTCATCTCTGCTTCTTTACATCCAAAGCATACTCACAGAGGAAACCTCTCATCTCTCTGCTTTCCTATCTACTGAAGCACCTATTTCACTACCATTATGTGTAGTAAAAAAGGACAGGGTGTTGGGTTTTTTTAGATAGCATACAAATACAGCTCTACATTTCAGGAGAAAACAGAAACACTGCACTGCACAAACATTAGAATACGTGTAATTTTTAAAAGTTCCCAAATATCAGACTGTAGGAATGAGATTTTTACCCACATAATGCAATTTCTTATTTTTCTTATATTCCTGTACCCCTGCTTTTACTAAAATGCAACATTTTAAATTCAAAGGCCTCAGCTTCCTCTCTTCCTTAGGAGACATATATAGCGATACCACTGGGAAGGGAGGAGTAGTGCCTGCAATCAAGTGGCAGCAGACCTGTTCTGATGGCTATTTCTGACCTTACTTTAGCTGAGAGGACCTACCCAGCTCAGTGGGCTCCATCTCCCATATAGTGGCATGAGGGTACACAGATTTCTCACAAGGAAAGGAAAAATGATACTGCAAATACGTGCATGAAATTGCTAGAGATTCATGATGGCTGTAGTCACAGGCCATCTGCCTTTACATACATAAATCTGAGAGATTTTGATAAAGAAGGTACAGCATACAATTAAACCCTTTTGCAGGTATTACAAGGAAAGCCATTGGATCTTGCCATGACAGTAATGCCTCAAAACATGACTTCACTTGGTGATTCCTGGCCGACTGCCTCCAGCCAATGATACCAGCAGGACGGACCATCTGAGAAACCCTTAATCAAAAGTGTTATATCCACAGGTCAAGGTCAATTTTTTTTCCTTATGAAACACATTCAAGACAGCCAAAAGGACCATTTACTTAAATCAATAGGTTGTAATACCTGCAATGATTTACTGCAATAGTAGAACAGCATGCACATTTAAAAGAAGAGTATCTCCTTATCTAGGTTACAAAGCTCTTTAAAATAGAGCCAGAACAGCATTCAGTTCCCTTTGGTTGCAGTGAATAGTTTGAAGGTTGAAATTACATTCTCTGTTGATCACTGGAAGACAGGGATAGGGACAGACTATTGAAAAATTTCAGTGTCCTTTTGGCTGCCTTCCAGTCCCATCTCCAAGTGGCTGCTATTCTATTTAATGTAACTGGAGTCTACCCTTAGGATGAGTATCTTTCTTCCTGACAGTTTTTGTTCCTTTTCAAGGCAGGGGAAGAGCCACAGACCAACAAAGACTGCCTCTTGCAGCCTCAGCCGAAGGGCTCAGGAACAGAACAAACATGGCCAAAATCCTGCTGCATGACTGCCTTGCAAATGAGTTTCTCTACATTTTCTCTGAAAATGCAGATGATATAATAACTGTGGTTAAGATAATCCCAGAGACAGAAATTTTTTAATTGAAAAGATTTTAAAACAGCAATGGAAATTTGAGGAAAATCTGTTCTATAGCTGCAATACACGACCAGTCAGAAAAAGAGACAGACTTGCTAAAAGATAGTAAGCTAAAACTGATTCTTGTAGGAACATTTTTAATGGAGACACACGCTAAACAGGCTAGTTGCATATAAGAGCTTCAGACTTTTAATCTGGGATTTTAAAACAAAACCCAACCTGCTTAAAAAGTCTTCAAAACCTTCACCCATAGAAGGTTATATAAATTCTCTAAGTGGACAGGCCTGGGTTAATAGCTAACATAATTATACCCTGTTTGTACTGACCAGATAGCAGAGTTATGGCAGTGCACAGGTTCAACTCAGACACATCAATCTGTGTCTAACCTACAGTGCCCTTGGGGCACACACTACACATACAGGGGCACGTTCCACTATGTGATTGTTTTTCATGGCTACTGCTTCCAAAATTAGCTGAGCCCCAAACTGACCAATTTCTGCAGGTAGAGTTACAAGCTTCCCTGGCCTTCAGGCTTCACCAATTACCAGTGCTCCTCATGGACCTTCTTCCTGCTCTGCACTGCAGATATTTGTGCAGCGCAGAGGCTCTGAGGCACGCAATAAATTGATACCTTCTGCTTGTTATATCTGCAAGAAGAAAAACACTGAGGAGTTTAGCAGACATTTATGCTCCCCAAAATAGCCAGGACTGATTCACATTTACCCTGACTCACATAAGTTATCACAATCACATTACTTTCAGCAAAAACATCAGTTAAAAGGAATTTGTGTCAGGGCCACAAGCAAAGAGCTATTCCATTACAGCATGCCTGTGCTGGGAAGTTGTTAACATCTTCAGCGATTCCCTTAGGAAATGTCAACAGCAGCACCAGAAAAAAAGCAAACATATTTGTTTGTCTAAATATTAAGAAGAGCCTGGAACAGTTTCTAAAATGCCAACAAGAAAACCACACTCCAAAGCAGCATGATTTCTTTTTGTTGCAAACATGAATAGTTCTTATGTTAGTTTGGAAAGCAGTCGATGGGGAGTCAGCCAGGGAACCAGAGTGAAGCAGATATTCCTCTTCACAGTATGCAAGGAACATATTAATCATGCAAATAGAAATCCTTTTGAGGGAAAGAAAAAAGGCACTATGTCTCTTTGGGATAAGAAAAGTAAACATGCAAATATCATGCTTTTAGGAAAAGAGGAAAGTCTAAGGGATGGCTACTATTTGACAGCTACTGTGTTACTGTTTTCTGTACACAGTGAAGGGTGAAGTATCTTATTTCTTTTACATACTGCATAACACAGTCACAAGACTCTAGTATTTACAGTTGCACTACAAAACCCACTCTCCAAATATACAACACTCTTAAGAAACCTTCCACATTTTATTATACACTAATCATTATTCAGTACTTTAGTGCTCTTATTACGTAATAGACATGATATAATATCATTGTTATTTTTCATTGTCTTTACTGTGTGATAATTAGCAGTGCTGCACTCATTGGTTGCACTCTCTTTTTTTTACTGCAAATAGACCCATATAAAATCAACTGGGGGTTCATTCCCTCTGCACCTCAGAAGGAACATTCACCTATGTCTCAGAGAGCAAGTGGCTGCAGATGCCATCCATTCCATCTGGAGAGGAGAGAAAGGCTGCAGTGACCAAAAAGACGTGCCAAGCACACCTAATATCCACTACCAACAGCTAATATCCACTACCAACAGGCCTGGTAGAATAGAATTTCAGTAAGTAGGAAGTGGCTTTATGACATGGAAGTAGAAACCAAGCCACAGTCAGGTACTGCCCTTTATTCAAAGCCTGTTTTGTTACCCTGCAAAAACACCAGGAATAGACAATCACCTGCAGCACTCTGGATAATGCCACATGGTTCTCCCTTCTCTAGCTAGCACGAGGTAAGCCCTTCTAGAGCTGTCCCTTCACTAAATCCTGTGTTAGCTACATCCAGCTCTCCACAGCCAGGTCTACCAGCCAAACCCTATTTAGCCCTGTCTAAGCTAAAACCTCTCTACCATGTCTCTGCCTTCCTGGAAACTGCCAAGACAAGACACAGGGCTTCCTCCACAGGTTATGTGATAAACTACTTTTGTCACTGTTTTTTTCACTTGAGCGTCTGGGACACATAACAGCATCTGATTCATTTAACATAAATAATTGACAAGACTCCTTCCAGTTCAATAGTTTGTTTGCTATTACCTTTATAAATAAGGACAGAACTTTAATAGAGTGTAAATGTGCAGATGTGCTTCAAATATTTTAGGAACTTGCTATATAAAAGTAAAAATAAAGTCCCCGTTAGCAATAAAATATAGTTATTCTGTCACTGTAAACTTCCATGCTTGTCACATCTCCAGTGATTTATGGGTTTTCTTTTCTTTTCTTTTCTTTTTTCACTTTTCCTAACAAGCACAGGGATATTTTTCACTGCTGAACACTTGAGCTGGAAGCTGAAAGTTGGGTTAGATGCTTACTCATCAATTAGTAATTAGGATTTTGCAGGTCAAGTTCTGCCCCAGTGTCAGCTATCAAGTCACCTTTTACTGCAGCCATGTTAAATACAACCCCCCATCCATACCCTGTACTGATAATCATAAATGTAACTACTTCCATCCGTGTGAGCTGCCGGTTACCAGACAGCAAGAGGACAGGTTGGGAACAGAACTGAACTCAGCTCTTCACCTGAACATGTTCTAGTGAAAACAGACAAGAAATCCACTGACTACCCTCACAGCTCTTAGTGCTTTATCTTAAGCAGGAATAAAAGCCCACACCCATGACTTTTGTGAACAGCAGACATGAGACATAAAGACATAAAGACAGTTCTATCTTTCTGTTTTAAAGAACTCCTCAATTTCACTTGGAGCTAAAAGTATTATGAAAAAAAATTACTCCAACTTAACAGGCAGCAATCACAGAGCAATGAGTTCTCCAGCTGGTGCTCCTGCTCCTGATGAAATAGTGATTTGTGAGGAAAGAAAAGCTGATACTCGGCATCCGTGTCAAGGGGATAGAAGGAATCCTACCTCCCCTGCCTCACACATCGATGCTGTCTCTCTTCTGGATCCTGCTGATAACATATGCTCCTGAGGCATCTTTAATTATCACAGACAGTGCAGACATGCTATGCCAGCCTTCCCTAGTATTCCTGATCTCCTATAAACACCACATGGTTCCACACATTTAATCTGCTTTATATCTTCAAAAGGAAGATATTATTTGGGGAATTTAAGAGAACATACTTAATTCAAAGGAGGTTTATGTGTATTCTTGTTTATAAGGTGTTTTGAGGATGAGTTAGCTAACAAGAAAAAAAATTAAATTGAGTAAGATGATTCTCAATATACTTTGAATAGAGTAAGATGATTACGTCTTTTCTCAGTTGTGCCCCTCAGATCTCTAATTCTCACTGGAACAGAGGGAATATGCCCAGGAAAAAGCCTCTATTACTATTCTTACTTGTGACTACAACACGAAGTTCTGCTGCAAAGACAGCTGGCAGCTGAGACAACATGGATCTGATGCAGAGCAGTCTCATTTCCAGCCTATAATCTCTTTCTGCTACTGATGTAAATGTATTTTTCATATAAATGAGTGAGTCTGGTCCCTAAAGATTACAGGGGACAGGAAGAGAGCTTCTAACCTTCTTGACAACATTTTGAGTCTATGCATCTCTTTATATTTCCCTTTGTGCAACCAAAAAAGGCCTGACAACAGGATTAGAGATACCTGTAAAGTCAAGAGCATTTGTTTTTGCAGAACTAGGGGTAAAATGTGAAGTTATAAGTATAGTGAAAAGGCATCAGCATTTGAAGTCGAGTCTCCATTTAACCACATTTAATCTCATTATCACCCATATAAAATGCTTCATGCTCTCTTTGGAAGGAGAGATTCCTTCTTTGGGAGAAGGTCCCACTGGACACAGTCATTCTTTTTGAATTCTTTCAGGGCCACAGGGAGACACCTGAAACATAAGCAGGAAAGCAACTCTCCTATTCAAAGAAAGAAAAGCACAAAAATGCTCTCACTTTGTGAGAACCTTTACTTAAAGCAGACAGAAACCCAAAATGTCCAAGGAAGGGCTACCGAGTGACAGAAGAGATAAGCAAAGGTGGCAGAGAGGCCTTCCATATCAAGGGATATCATGATGCCCTTTATCTCCAGTCCTGGAGATACTGGACCCAGCATTTCAATACATCAGCTATTGCTGTACACTGACAGCAGTGCAAATCACTGATTGGTTGGGCACCAGCATAAAGCAAATATCAGAGACTATCAACAGTGATACCTTTGCCAAAGAGTTTCTTCTTCTCCTGCTATCATCAGAACATGTACTCAGTACCAGTAGAGCAAACCCTTTCAATGGGTAATACCAATGCACTTTACATCCCAGGGACTTTCTTTTTAGTGGATAGGAACACATTTGCTGGAGCCCATCAACATCCTGCAACACAACAGCCTCCAGCCTCAGTTCTGAGGAGTCTGAATGTGTGATGGACAGGCAGTCTGTGCCAAAGCATTTGGAGAACACATACATCTTTTTAAATATGACATTTTTTACTGAGGTTTTCAGTTCTTACTTACTAGAGCTCAATTCAGTCAATATAGTAACTGCATACCAAGAACCAGTTTTGACCAGCAAGTCAGCCAGATCTGCAGATTTTTAGGGTACAAAGCAAATGCTACAGAGCATTAGCTCAGTACTTCATGAAGTTTTGGGCCAAAAAATGCCCACTGTTGAGAGAGAGCTGTCCAAAAGCAGGCTTGAGCAGTAGGATTGAGCAGGATTGAGCACTTAGTTATGCTTTCCTGTGTGATCTACCAGTCTGGAAGCCAATGGGAAATGTTATCTTTATGACTTGGACTTGATTTAAATTAAGATCTATTTAATTTCCCAGCAATTCAAGACACATTTAGTCACCTTTGCATCATCAATATGTCTTGAACTAGGGAACACAATGTTTTGGAGCTGTTGGCTGAAGACCCAGACAGCTCTATGCTGACAGCAGAAAGAGTGTAGGCTGCAACTGCTGCTCATTCTGGAATTACTACATTACAAGTAGACTTTGCTGGTCAAATTTCTGCCATTTGTATTTCTGCTTATTGGACTCAGCCCATTTCACTATATACCAAAGCTGGAAAAAGTCTACCCCTAATCAGTCCACTAGTTTAGAAAAAATCAACCAAATAGCACCACTTTGGCTAAGACTGTTATTTTAGCACATATAAACATGTTTTGTGACCTTTCCAAGACCGTGTTTCTATAGAATTTAAATATTTATTATCTAGAATTTATTATCTAGAAATTAAATATATTACTAATATATAATATATTACTAATTCTAAATATGAGAAAATTGCACCTTCCAGTAAGTCAACCAAGACCGCTGAAATGCATTACAGCAAAACTTCTGACTCCCAGCATAATAAGAAACATGAAATTTCCAGGATGTTACAAGAATATTGGTTACACAGGCTCATTTTTTCATTCTGCTAGGCCTCAGACAAGACAGCTTTCTGACCTACAACGAGTACAAGGATAAAAATGCAAAGGTTCAGGACACATTACAGCATGTCCAAGTTACAGCATTGATACTCTCAGTTCACAAGCACTGGTACATAAAATCATTCAGAATTATGGCACATAGCTGTAGAGTCACAAGACAGTTTAGGTTTGAGAGGCCCTTTAGTACTTACCTGCTCTAAAGTCTTGCTCAAAGCAAAGTCAGCTTTGAGAATAGGACTGACTCTGAAGTCAGGAGGAGAGAGAGCCTTGTCCAGTCAACTCTTGTGTGCCTCCAAGGAAGGACATGGCCAGTAGGTCAAGACAAATCATTATTTACCTCAACTCAGCACACATGAGATGGCACCAAAGTATTGGACCCAGCACTTTGGGCTCCCCAGTGTGAGAAAGACACTGACAAACTGTAGCCAGAAAAAAATGGTTTCTCCATACAGAGGCAACAGTATCAAATAAAACCAGCACCAATTTTTTGGCCAATCTAGTACAGTCAGTTGCCTTTTTTTTGTCATTGGAAAACATTGCTTCTTAAAGTTTTAAGGAATTATTATATAATTTAATAAAATTATTTAATTTGTGTTAAATTTATATTTAATATAAATTTAATAATTTATATTTTAAATTAAAATATTTGCCATTTCTGACAGTCAGTTTTTGGCCCAATTTCATTTTATTTTTTTTCCTCTTGTGAGTTTATAGTCCAAATAGAGACAATGTACTTTAACCTGATGCTTCCAAACAAGCACACCTCTTGCCTTTCATATTTTACTCCCAAATCCTGACCAAATTTTTATATTTAGAGGTTCCTAGATTCAGTTTTCAAGCAAATAATTTTTTTGAAAAAAACCCTCAGCAAGGAGACACACAATTTGTTTCAGTGTCACAGTTCCCTTTCAAGTATCAGAGAACTCTTACCATGAATAACTTGCACATATCTCAAGGGGATTTTCATATACGCTACAGGAAACAAACCAGCCTTAAGCAATGTCCTTGTGAAAGGTACTGCATACCACATTCTTATTAATTTCTGTACAACTTCAAATGTCTGCCTTGTGACATGTAATATACATGCAAAAGTACCTGCTTCTTTCTCATTCACTCACAGAATGCAGCAGCTGCATGTATAAATAAACATCAGTTATTATGGTTACCAGAGAGCCAACACAAAATACGTTTTCATTTGGAATATTTTTGACCACCCACTGTGTATAGAACAATACTACATCACTAAAAATATTTACGGGTAGGCAGAGATGGAGCCGTTACAGCTCCCCCACGTGGGTCAGGATGGCCGAGCGGTCTAAGGCGCTGCGTTCAGGTCGCAGTCTCCCCTGGAGGCGTGGGTTCGAATCCCACTTCTGACAGCCCTATTTTGGG